CACCGTTTACCGCAAGGCGACCTGGAGTGGGCAGTACCTTCACTTTTCCAGTTTTGCCCCGGTTGCATACAAATGCGGTCTAGTGAAGACACTCTTCTACAGGGCTAGACGAATTTGTAGTCCTGAATTGCTGGAAGATGAAGAAAAGTTTCTGTATAGGACCTTAGTATCGAATGGTTATCTCGAAAAGTTCATCCAAGTGCACAGCAACCCCCCCCCCAAGAAAAAACTGCCAGTGCAAACGGCAGAGAAAAAAGCTGTCTATTTGGTTCTGCTGTTCAAAGGGGACTATGTGGCAAATGATATCGGACACAAGCTCAGGTCCGCCTTAAATCGCACCTACACGACTGCCCAGTTGCGCCTCATGCACACTAGCCGGAAACTAGTTCTTCAGGACCGTCAGAGCTACCCTTCGGCCTCTCATGTGGCTTATCAATTCACCTGCAGTTGCGGTACTGTTTACATAGGCAAGACTAACAGTCGGTTGGCTCAGAGGGTGGCTGAGCACTTGCCAAAGTGGGTCGAACAAATGATAGCGCAACAGAACGGAACGCCCCACAGAACGAATCGGAGTCCGTCATCGTCTATCGCCAAACACCTCTTGACAACTGGTCACCATGTGAACGCCATTAATGCGTTCAAGGTGTTATTACGTAACAGGAACCCGATAAGTTTGGTAATCAGTGAGGCGTTGCTAAGTAGCGCTTATCAACCTGTGTTATGTGCGCAGAAATTCTTGAGGTAATCAGATTGTCTTGGTCTTGATTTTGACAGTCTCATTGGTGTGCCAATATTTTCCCATGTATATAAATGTGTCTGTGTTTCTGCTTGTATTGTGTTTGCGACTGATGAGAACAATCGAAATGTTGACATATCGCAATCTATGTCTTCTTTCTGCTTTAACGAAATGAATGAAGGGGAACAAATGTTTTACATATTCAACAAAACGATTAGGATTTTCCTGACACTAGCAAAAGTGAAACAGATGTTAAGTCTGCAAATAAATCACGAAAGATTGTTTGATGAAAGACCAGATCATATCTAAAACAAAAAGACCACTGCAGCCATGTGTTGAAGATGTTTAGTCTATCTCTGCGTTTTATTTCCAATATCACTCGAAACCTGCTCTATGTTAACTTTTTATACACATCCGTACATAGCTTAAGTCTTTTTCATGTCTCCAATGAGCGACAAGTAACGGATATTTTCTTTGCGATTGATTGCTTGAAAGTAATGACCTGATCGTCTTCCAGTTCTAATGGTTTCAATTGCCAGTCTTTTGGGATAAAGCAAATGTAATTGCAGTAAGACTATCAACTGCATTTGGATTATCTTTGCTGTTCTTTACTCTTTATAAAGTCCTAGCCGGAATGTAACATTACTTTCTCTCGAAATTTCCGTACCACAGTCTTTATTTACCACGACTTATGAATTTGTGATAGGTCTATCTGCAAAAGGTAATTATTAGTTCGTAGAAAGTAGAGGTCACGATTAAACTGCACACAATAATCTGCCTCGACGGGAAATCGAACCCTGGTCTCATGAATTTCAGGCCCGCTGCTCTACCACTGAGCTACCGAGGGCTGACGATTAGGTGCGCAATTTAATACATGACTTCTGCTTGGTGCGCGACGTATTGTCAATGAGCTCACAGTAACTGTCCTGGTGTTGCACATTGGCTCACTCACTCGTCACTTCCCAAGGGACCGAAGTAACTGTCCTTCTGAAGTCCAAAGGGCGATGGTAGATTACTTGAAGGATGTTTGTGAATAGCGTAAGGTTCGTGAGCTCACTGGCAATACGTCGCGCACCAAGCAGAAGTCATGTATTAAATTGTGCACGTAATCGTCAGCCCTCGGTAGCTGTGGTAGAGCAGCGGACCGGGAATTCGATTCTCCGTCGAAGCAGATTATTGTGTGCAGTTTAATCGTGACTTCTACTTTCTACGAACCTTACGCTACTCACAAACATCCTTCAAGTAATTATTAGTTTTATGCATTTTAATTATTCGTACTCTGTATGCTTCCTTATTTCGTTATTGAGCATGAGTGGGCTGATCTCTTGCGGTAACGGATTACAGTTTCCAAGCTTAAAAAAATTATACCAACGCAAGGCAAATGGCCATTGACTCACTGACGTATAACAAAAAAGTGCCATACTTGAATGATCCGCATGTCGGAACGCACTAAGGTTCCATCGCTCATAATGTATGCATAAAACAGTCCTCAAAAACACATTCATTAAACAGGTGATGGCTTACATGCTATTTTACCAAACTGGCACACAGCCAGTTAGAGCATGGAAGTGCGGGTGAAACCCATGGAGGGGATAACTCGCATGGAAGCAAGTCCCCTGGGGACGGTCGTATTACATTAATTGAACTTTTGGCTAAATGCATCTGTTATTGTTCCTAGTTTCTTAATCACTCTGATACCTTCGAACTGCCAACCACTTAAAAAACCCATTTGGGGTTCGTTATGCAAAACATGCACAAGTAAATATTTCATGCGATCTCGTTGTACAGATTGATCAGGCCACTCAGTTTGACTGTGCCTCGCAAAGTCGAGGAATAAACCGTTTATTTATTTATTTAGCGATTCGCATGCCAATCTCTCACTGTATTTGCTTTTTATGGACGCTGGGTTTCTCTCTCTCTCTCTCTCTCTGCCTGTGCTACACCAGTTCGAGTATGTACGCCGTCGTTTGCCCGTTCCAGTGGGATGTGTCTGTCCTCAGCATATAGCTTATTTGCGGTGCATCACAATACGATTCAGTCAGTGGTTGCGTCCAGCTTACACTCGAAGACGATGACAGGCACAACAGGCGACTGCCATGACTTCAGAAATAATTGCGTAACGCGACTCGATCCATGAGTCTTTAAGCGCGTCCAAAAAATTAATATTAGAGGCATATAAGGTCTAATCCACTAGAATAGCAGGCTACGCGAGCAAAACAAGTCACTCAAGGATTGTTGAAGGGCAAATTTGGACGGAGAATTAAATCCGGAATGAAGACGGGTACGCTGCGTAAGTGGCAAAATTACCAGGACAATGGCAGGCTGGATAGCAAGGTGGTATGCCAGATAAGTACATTATCTGCCGAGGCTCCGGAGACCAACTATTTGTTTGTCCCCATTCGATGCTCCATGTGTTCATTGCACTTTTCACCATGGGTATAGAGATTTGCTCCGGACAATCTTATCTGGCACCTGCTCCTAAGGACTATTGTGTCATTTACTGTTTTCCTGGCCATGTCTACGTGGTTTCATTCAAACCACCACTGTTAGATACGTTCGTGCCCACACTGTGTAACATGCCCGGTTGTCCCAGCACGTATCGACTTGAGCCATGCTCCAGTCACAGGGAGACATCTCTTGCTATTCCTTAGATCCCACATTTGCCGAGAGACACATTACCACACCACCCTCTATGTGCTGTAAAGTGAACCGATCGCGTGGGGTTATTGAACGCATTAAAAGAGCCGTGGGAGTCCGCTCACAGACTGCATTATGTGATCCTGTTGAATGGTGGTAACTGAGGTAATTAGCCTCATTTCTGTGCCTAGTAAAGACCCGGTTGTTTTGGGGACTGAACGGGTTTAGCGAGTAGCCTTTCATGGGAGCCCGAAGAGCAATTCCAGAATAGAGATCGAGTTGAAGGGAAACTTTTATTTGTACATCAAAAGGTTCCCTGTTGTCTAGCTATAAAAATGCGATACCCTTGACGCTGCTAGCTAGGGGAAAGGAAAATACACAGATCTCACAGGACAGTCGAGCGTTACAACGGAAACGAGCGCCAAGCAAAATGGTGATGCTCAACACAGGCAACCGAACTCAGCAACCAGTTCCACAATCCGCATCGGTCGCCTAGATGTACAATATAATTTCAGTTAGAAGTTTACACAGGCAAACCGGGGAATCTCCGGACTGCTACATGGGTACTATCAAGGTATGCCTATATCGTACTTTCAATTTTATTTTAATAATATCGTAGTTAACGTCTCAGCTTCTTTGGTTGGTTGGACAAGGAGTTTTTATGCGTCATTCGAGCCCCAAGCGAATTTGTTACTAACACGCTGGGAGACTGAGCATCGCACCCTGAAGGAACATATGCAAACTAATTGTGGAGGCCGCTACAACCAAGAGAATGGTAAAAGTCGATTACCAGGCCCAAATGGCTCAAGGAAGAACGCTTCGTTTTCACTGTATGGTTAAAAATCATTGGGGTCCGCCGTATGAAGGTAGCAAAAATAGCTCATAAGTGAAAATTAACACAAATAAAACGGAACATCCAAGTCAACTGAAAAGGCAGGCGGCGATCCGAGTAAATAACTACAACAGGGGTGGATCGCGATGTGGAGGTCGTCGAATCATGAATAAAGTGACGTATGTGCGTGGATTACAAATGGCATAGCACGAGTTGCTTGGGAGCCAGGGGGAGGTGTGTCGCAGTCGAATCTCTCCCATACCTCCAATGAGGGGGACACCGCACATACGTACGGTGTGGTGGTCGGAGAATCACTGGTAAGTGAATAGATAGATCGCACAAAAATGGTCGGTTGGGTTGACCGAAAACATGATGAACTGAGCTACATTGCCACGGATAGTTTCGGGAGCATCGCTCACTGCAGAGTAAAAAAGACGCAGCAAACGAGACTGCGCAGACACATTGATGAGACGCCCCAAGCCGAATTTACAGAGGAGAGAGAGAGAAGAGGGTGAGAAAGGTCATCAAAATGTGTACACAGACTAGTGTGAGGTGGTCACACTGAGGCATGGTTTATTCACCGGAGCAGAGGTCACCAGAATTCATGAGAACATAGAGGGCAGGTGGTAAGTATGGAAGGAGAAGGCATTCAGCAAGTGGAATAAAGGCCATCACCATTCCAAAGACAGTGATAAGTTGCTACGCGGCTGAGTGCGCGTGGAAAAACACGAGGCGAAATTGGAAGTTGACCAATTAAGGTGCAGGAATAAGGAAAGTACATCCACGCGGGTGAGTTTACAGTATGGAACACCGGACCCTCTTCTGAATGGGTTTAGGGGGTGGAGGTGGAGGTAAGACCGGTTGCCGCCTGAAAGGTGACAAAAGAATACAGTGGCGGAGCAGTACAATAGGTGCGCGATGAGTCAACGGCGTCGAAGGTATAGTGTAAGAGAAAAAACGCATCATTGTTCAAAGAAACCCCATAGTAGCAATGGAGCCACAAAACTTGTGGAAGCCGAACAACCCGATCAGGTATTTCTTGTAACAATGCGATATAGATATTGCAAGAATGTGATCCGCGGTATCACAACTCACATTGGTCGTACAAAAAACCGGGGTGGGATAGTTGGTAGAGATTCAAAATGAAAGAGGAGCGCGCACTCCAGCTCACCTGATAATCCGGACTAAATCGTGAAATAAATTGTCGACATTCACTGGAGGATCTTTGGCGCTGGTTTCCATGTATTCAACCTGTATCATGAAAAGCGGAAGCAAGCACGTTCAGTTGATAGTAATGAGGATATTGAGACGAATAAGGTGTGTAGCAAATTTTCCACGTGCCACAGGCACAAACCTTGCATCGGTGAACTTCCACGATGTAGTGCAAACATGGACGAACGAACCAACACCTCAGTGTTTCCGATGGCAAAAAGACTAGAACGAAAAGTTACGTTACGAAGCTCTGGTAGGTCTGTAAGGTGCGACTAAATGTTGCCTTAAACCCCCTGAAGCCATGAATACCACCAACGTAATTAGCTCGATCAAGTGAGAAGTACTCGAGTATGGATACGCAATGAACGAAACTATTGGAATTCAGTTGGGTATGGAAAACATCATGAACGAGCGCAACCAGAAGGAAAAATCAACCTGAAAAAATATTTGTAAAAGGAGGATGGAACATAAAAGCAAGTACAAGATTCAAGAGAACAGCTAGTTCGCCGATATCGTTATACCATAACCGCTTTGCAGTATTAACGCAGCTGTCACTGTAGTTCTCATTCTAGGATATAGCGCGTAAGCGTTTGCGAGGATGTAGTTAATTCCGATGGCTTGTGAAGCGAGCTGAACGCGACAATTAAACACCCCGGATACAGATGAGGAGCTAGGCTTGGACCAATGGGGGATGAGGAGGGCACGTGCGATGTGGTAGACCAAACAAGTGCTGTCTCAATTTGTCAGGAACAAAAAAGGTTCCAGTGAGACAACGGTTTACATCAACTTGAATGTTTGGTTGAGTAATTTGCAAGGTCCGTTGTGTCAGAAATGCAAGCTGGATATCATGAACCGACATAAAGCATCGACGCCGCAGACGCAAAATGATAACATACGGCACGAGCTAGTGCTTTGGAACGCAACAAGGCATGTTAAGTGCCCCATGGCTGGCAGTCATTAACTGTCAGTCACACCTTCGATTGGGCTTGGTCGGGTTACGTGAAAATCACCGAGACATTCGGAGTATTGCGATCACTTCCAAACTACTCATATGTACCATCCGTTGAGGAAAATTCAGTTCTCGTGTGAATCAAAACAGTGATGGCAAACGGTGCCACGCCGAAAGTAACACTACGAACACACACACACACAAATAGACTAACAAGACCGGATTCGATTCAGTTGACAGCCCTTGTTGTCAAAATGCTTCAACTTGAAGCGTGCGACAAATAAACCGAGAAAATCAGTCTTCAGAACTATTAGACGAAGGCATAGTATGCTGGACTGCAACAATGCCCCCAGATCGCTGGAATGAGTCGGTAGAATTCTGCGGTGACCAATCGAAACAATCAGTCGATGTGCTTCGAGATTTGAGCTGGGTGTCCCAAAAGGGACGCTATTCAAGGGAAGAACCACGCCACCTTATATTAAAGTCGATGTTGGCTTGAATGGACTGCCGGCCAGATAACAGAGGACTTTAAGTGGTGGATCGACAAGATTGCAGCAAAACAGCCAACGACAACCGCATAGTTGCAGTGTAAATGCGCGTTAGAATAAGTGCGTTCGCATTTAAGCCTGCACAACTCATGTGAGCGAACTTCTGATGAGCCTGGATACGGTGCTTGTGTATCCATATCCCTTGAATTCCAGTTGGATGAACAGAGCGTCAGCATGCCACGTGCATGGAAAAAAACATCTCCGACAGTTTGAAAGAAACCCATAAAGATAATCAAAAGTCAATGTAAGCAAACATGTTTTCGATAATTCTTCATCAGGCTAGTACAATTATACACCAATTACATCAACTAGACAGACTTAACGACTCAGTAGTCTGTCTAATCGATGCAGTTGTACTAGCCTGATGAAGAATTATCGAAAACATATGTTCGCTAACATTGGCTTTTGATCTCCGACAGTATTAACTAGGTAATCGATTAGAATATAGTCGGCAACCAAGGAAAAACAGTGTTCGGTGCACCAAGTGACGTTGTCAGACATGTCGCCCACTGAAATCTAGCCAGAGGGGATTCAGTCCAGTAGCTAGGGAGAATGACCGCTCCCAAGTAACTCGTGATCGCCGCAATAGTGTGTTGATGTAGTCAACCAAAAGCGAGAGGACAGGTCAAACCACAGGATATTGCAAATCCGACCCCAGGTTCACGTGGTGATGATGTGGCGTTGCCCACCCGGTAGAATGTGTAGCCAGCATCTGCTTCAAGCAACTTACCTTGCTCAGCAAGCCGAGTCTCACTGAGCTCCGCAATATCGATGTTGTAGCGTGCCAGTTCCATCGAGACGAGTGCAGTGCGTCGCTCAGGGCGCTCACTCGAGTTCCGGTCCAGTAGTAAGCGCACGTTCCATCACCCGATGCTGAGTGCTTTGCGCGCAGGCATACGATTGCCTTGGTGAGCAATCGCACGCGAGGTGGCGGTTTTGCCTCGGAGCTTTGCTTGAGGGACTCCACCCGGAGCCTTGGACTCAATAGCCTGACCCACAAGGCAGTGGGGAGCAGATCTAGCTCAAAAATGTGATTGCAGAGACAGATGGGAATCTGCTTGAAGTTCGTCACACGCAGCCTTTGAGGTACTGAAACGATTCATGTATATTTTGCGACCGTAGTAGCATATGCATCTGTGACCACGGCCAGAAGCAAGCAGGTTTTGGCGCGTTTGCACCAGTTTGATCAGGGGCTGCCTGGAGTGATATAGGCAGTAGAAAACCATTCAGCACCCGGAAGTGCCCTCGAACCGTCAGACAATGCGTAGCGCTCATGCTCTATGCCAATCGAGCTGTGAGCTTATAACCCGTAGACCCGTTGTCTCACATGGCTAGGTATTACGGGAAGATGGCCATCGATCACTTACTAACCCCCGAAGAGGATGGACTACGATACTGGCAGGGCGCCCACACTTGACAGGAGAAGGACTCAGATCCTCAGCCAAAGCCTTCGATTAAATGTGCACTCAAAAAGCAGCGGGTCTGGTACATGGTCAGTTAACTAACTCATGAGGATTGGTGTCCTGGATCTTAGCAGGGAGAAGGGCGAAACCCAAATCCCACCTAGAGGTCACCAAGAGCAGGCGTCCAGGACATGAGCCATGGCGCAACAGTAGCAGCGGCGGGTAGACCATTTGTCAGGATCTAGCCACCATCGGCCTCAGCGCACTAAACGCTGTCCCGCCAAATATATATATATATATATATATATATGCCAGGTTAAGAACTGCGTGGTAACCCTGTGCTTATATAGAAACCCCACAAGACATGCGTCGAAAAAGATGACTGACGCATTTTCCGCAGTTTCCTGTTGCCTGTTTACTGCGTGTACGATGAAGCATCTGTGGGAAATTAAAACCATCAAAAGAGCTGTTTTATCTTTGTAGTCCTATCAACGAACGAAAAAGAGGCGTTTGTGACCGCCAATGTTTGAAATGTGCAAGCAATTAAACACAAAGTGCCTGCTCGGGCATTACACTCAGTCCTCTTTCTCCCCTTGCGGTATCCTGCAACAGTGAGGCCAATGTGATTTATTTCGGTCAATGATGACGAGGATACTGTCTAGAGGATGGTAGTAGTTTATGTCGTGTGAAGTGCAGAAGAGGAACAGGTAGGGAAGGAAAGGAACATCAGAAGTAGTCTAGTTTCGTTTATCCGTCCTGCTGTGTGAATCACTTGAAGTGAATTACGTATGTGAAGAATAAATAAAAAAAGTGGAATGAGTGGAATAAGGACGAGCGACAGCGTTCCAACTCGGTTGGCTAACCGAATCATCTCCTCGTGATGTCAGCTGGCTGATTCGCGTTTAACCCGTTCCAGAAAATAGTTCGTTAGCAGTGTTCCATAAGGCAGTGGGTTTTCATCTGGCAAGTGTCCACCCTATCAAAAGCAAAATATGTCCGTTTAACAACACTGTGACGTGGCGAATGTGACTCGCCACAAAATTAGGTCACTGCCCCGTGGACATCCGGATAATGCTATCCAAGCAACGGACACCAATCTTTTACTCGTACATTGCTGACGATAACAAACAATCCAAAAAACAGCAACACACATACAAGCACATGCGACATAGATACATACGTAACAACTGGTTGACAGCACACGGTTTCGGATTTGTCAGCCACAGAACGCCTGCGCCTACAGAGGGAACATGGGTGGCTTGCGTTGCACTAGCCACAGCTTCATCCAAACATCCCATATCCAGTGTAAACCCGAAGGAATAAGACCGGGAAGCATGTGGATGGGAGCCACATTTCATCAACGGAGCCGGCCCACACTCCTTCACAGCAAACACAAGCACGCTGTATTTGGAGAATCAAGTGCACACAAGGCGGTGGCTGGACCGTAGTCAGCTCCACACTGACTGCATGGAACCACTCTTCGAGCCTAACATGACCAGAAGGACCGTGCACCACGTCCCCTCCAGCAACGACCAACTGTCTCCTGGAGCCAGTATGGACGACGTAGTGAGTAATAGACAGGTAGGCACCTTGTCAACATGCACATCAAGCGCAGCCACCTCAGGGATGTCAAACAACAGCCAATCACTCAAAATGCCGATATCGAATAAAGTAAACGCATATGACGACATAAATACTCGCTAAATGAGCATATAGAAGAAATTGGTTATAAGTGAATCCGTGATAAGTACAAAATGTCCGAGTTATTTAAAAATACCACGCGATACAATTACGCAAGTTTACCACAATTTGTAAGAGCGACGTGTGCAAGTTGGGAGAAGATTATCAAGTACGCAGAACAAATCAAATCAAATGTAACGAATTTCATCCACATTAAAATGACCTGGCTTAAGTGTAAGTTGGTTTAGCCCAACTGCGGTGAAGAAACATCATGAATGCAACATCACATTATATATGGTTGGCGGCATCCGGTTTCGGATTTGCCTGTCACTGTGGCCAGCCACAGGACATTATATATATATATATATATATATATATATATATATATATATATATATATATATATATATATATATATATATATATATTCAAGTACATAAAACATGTATTTTGTGCATT